CACAGCCCCTGACACCTTGTACTCCAGAATCCAGTGGAGGGCAGCTGGGGGCTGCTGCTGGGGCTTCTGACTGTTTCCCAGCTGCCTCCATGTAAGGTATTTCTGGGAGACTCCTGGTGACTAAGGGGAGCTGGTGCCTTGGCCTCTTCACAAATATTTTCAGAGTCCTGTTCTTCTCCTAAGACGTGTTTTTAACACATAAAGTGGCCCCACCGATAATTCAGCTGCTTTGGGAGAGGCTTGGGCCGGGGTGGGTGGGGGCACAAGGGGTGTGTGGATGGGGGTGGGGGTGCGCTAGTCTGGAGCAAGTTTCCAGCTGGCAGGAATGAGACCTGAACTGACCCTGACCCTGACCCTGAACTGACCCTGACCACCCCCCTAAGGTTTCCCTCCTTATTAGACGTGAGGGTGTCCAGTGGAGCTGGACCTTCACTAGAAAAATGGGTTTTCTCACGTCAGCTTAGGCAAATGGCTGATCTCTGAGCCCGAGCTTCCTCCTCAGAGATTGGGGTTGGTGAAAGGCCTGGCTGCATGGAGGGGCTCTGCAATGCTGGAGGCCCTTCCGTCCTGTGGGCAGTCTCCTCAGAGCCTGAGGGTGATGATTCCTAATGTGGGGGGAGGTGTAAGAGGACCATCATGGCTGCCCCCTTGCAATGGTCCCATCTCACCGACTGACACTGGGTGAGGTGGGGTGAGGATCTCCAAATGTCCAGCAGAGTGAGCTGGGGCCAGGGAGTGAGAAGATTTAGTAGGGTAGAGAGTTCCCTCCGGGGGTCATCCTCTAGCCTTGGAGGCCTCCTCCTGAGTGGTCCCTCTGGAGGCCACTGGCTTCCCCAACCCCAGTGCCACTTTGGGGGGTTGAGGGTGCTGTCATCAGAAGCCCAGGCAAGAAGAACTGGAGTGGGCTAGCTGTGTGACTTAAAGTCCCATCCCCTGTGTGCACTTCAATTTCCTTCTTTGGTCAAACGAGTGGATTATAGACCAGACAGCAGTGGTTTTTCAGACTCCTCCCGCCTCCAGTGAATTCTTACACGGAACCCCAACCTATAGTATAGATAAAGGGGAAATGCTTTGGCTCCCCTTCCTCATGCCGGTGGCTCCTGAAGCAGAGTCTAAAAACCCCCTGGATGATCTTTGCGGTCCCTTTTTGTGAGGTTCTAGGAAATCTGTGTTAAACCTCAGAAGTGTTGCCTACCATGAGGGTTGAGGGCAGGAGTGTGGGTCCTAGTGATTCCATTAAGAGAAATGTGGGTGTTAAGGTGGGCTTCACCCTTGGAATGTCTGGAGCAGACATCCTGTGCCTCTGACCCAAAGTTGTAGCTGTGTCCCTCCCCTCTGCCACGTGGTTTCATCTTTTCAGGGCCAGAAAGGTACCTGTGCCTCGGGGCCTTCTCTGGGTCCTAACTGGTGACTATAATTCCACCTCAGACTTTCTCCCCTTTAGTTTTATGTCCCTAAACTGATAAAATTGATAAAATGCAAATTCCTCTTGGGGAGAGATATTAGGAAAAGGCTTTAAGTCGTTACTAGTTGTTTTTACCTGATGAGGCAGCTGAGCAGTGGCCTTGAGAATCGAGGCTGGGCCACTACATTGAAATCAACAAACATTAGGGAGTGCCTGTTCTATACCAGCGCGACAAGGGGACAGAGGTGAGAACGTGACAACCACTGCCCTCGTGGGACTCCAAGACAGGAGGCAGGAGGGAAGGAATTCACATTTGTTGGAACCATCCCAACACGACGTAGGTCATTTTACGTGTTTATCTCATTTGTCATAATGTAGATCTTAGTCTCATTTTTTATTATGTAAAATTTTGACTGCATACAAAATAAGTGTACATATCACATATCCGTGTAACCACTACTCAGAGCAAGAAACAGCATTGCCAGCACCCAGAAACTCCCCTTGTGTCCCAGACATAACCCCCCACCCAGGCATGACCACTATTCTGACTTTTAGCACCACAGATGAGTTTTGCCTAAGTGGAATCACACAGTATGTGGTCTCTTGTGTCCCGCTTCTTTCATTCAACATTATGCTTGTGAGTTTTATCCATGTGTTTGCACATTGCGGTAGTTTATTATTGTTTGTAGACTAATTCCATTGTATGGGTATAACTCAATTTACTTACCTATTCCATTGATGGCCCTTTGGTTGTTTCCGATTTGTAGTTATTACTAATAGTGCGGCTGTGAACGTTTTAACACGGGCTATTTTGGAAAACATCTACATGCATTTCTCTTGGGTATGGCCATAGAAACTGCCCAACAGATTTCCAAAGTGTGATTCTCCTGGCAATGTTTGAGAGTTCTGACTGTTCCACAAAGTCACCGACAGTAGGCGTTATCTAGACTCATTTTCCACATAAGTCATTTGAAGCTCAGGAAAGTTGTCCCATGCTCAGTGTGTGCAGAGGTGATAGAGCTGATTCCAGCTCAGTCCTGTGTGACTGTAGAGTCTGTGTTTTCTCCTTCTGGGTTAGACAGAGAGAGTTATGAGCCAAAATGTGAAAGCTCTAACCCTGAAAGTATATGAAGAGACCTCTCTGGGAATTTAAAGGGGGTGGGGGATTTTAATGTGTTGTGACGAGAAATAGAGTCATGGAGCCTCACAGAGTTGGTAGCATTTGAGCCAGGTCTTATGGGAAGGGAGTGGTTTTGCTAGGAGGCTCTCCAGGTGGGCCTTCCATGGAAAGGGCCTAGCTTGAGCTGAGGCGTGGGAGTTTTGGGGGAATGGGAAAGGTCTACTTTGGCTGAAATATAGGATATGTGGGGGGGGGGACTAAGGCTGGAAAGTTTAGTTGGGGCCAAACTGGTGGTCCTAGCTTGTCCTTAGGGGGCTCCCTTGCCCCCCAGCCTCTGGCTACCCCTGGAGCCCAAAGTGGGGGGGCTCATCATTTTGCTGGGGATTTGGGCCTGCTTCAAATCCAGCTCAGCTTCTGCTAGCAAATGGAGCTAGCCTGTTGCCAAATGGAGGATGTTAGCTGTTCTAGGGACGAGTCTCAGGGTATCTGTCAACAGAATTTTTTGGAGTTTTCTGCTTCCCTCTAGGTGTGTGAAATGAGTAATCCCACCCCTCAGGACCTACCTGACCCAAAAGAAGATGATAGATAGAAGTCCTGCCACCTTCTGGGCTAGTTTCAGGAAATTTGCCAGGATGGGAGCTATGGGGGTGGGGGGGTGGGGGGTGAGTGAGGGGGTCTACCTTCAGATTTTGGTCAAGCCAAACTTTCCAGGAGGATCCCAAAACCTTCTCCCTAGAAGGGAATTGAAATGCTTGTCTCCGTTGCTGTGGGAAGCAGAAACACAAAGAGTGGCCCAGGAGGAGCCAGATATTAACAGTAATAATCACCTTTCTTATCTGCCTAGGAGTTTATGCCCTTATCACAAATGGATCCCCACATGGCTGTGTGAAGTATGCGATAGAGATGTTACCAGTCCCGTTTACAGATGAGGGGACTGAGGCCCAGAGGGTGCCAACCTGTGTGGGTTAGACAGCTACTACACACCCAGGCTAGTCTAGAACTGGGGCTCCTGGGAGCCTGCTCTTTTTCATAGTCCATGCTTGCTGGGCTCAGGCCAAGCGCAGGGTGAAGACCACGCAGCAGGGAGGATGCCTGATGGACCATGGACATCAACAGGCAGGAGTTCAGCAAGTGACCTTGAGAGTCAGGCCCAGGAGCCAGGCCAGCTCTGCCTGGGGGACTTCGGGGATGTGTGCCCCATGGAAGGGAGGGCGGCAGGTGGCATCGTGGTTATAGAGCTATGGTGTGCAGGGGGCAGCACTGGAGGAAGGAGTGTGAAATGTATACATTCTCTGAGAGTTGGAACAGCTTCAGCCACTTGGCACTGATGAGACAAACCCTTGTGTAATGGTGCCTCCACCCAGCCTGGTGAAAAACAGTCTTTTGGGGCTCATGGGGCCCTGGGTGTGGTTGGTATCTGATTGGCAGGCTGGAGAAAAGTTGCCAGTGCTAGCCAAAATGAGCTCTGAGAGGCCTTTGCTAATGACTCTTGAGAGACACATCCACAGTCATTTGCAGACTGTGCCCTGAGTCCTGCCCTTGTGGTGCTGTCCAGGGTGGCATGTGGCTGTCCCGGGAATGGGTGAGCTTCTTGGGGCAGGGAGATCCCAGGTTAGGATGCAAACAGTCTCCTGGTGGGGTGGTAAATACTCCCCATGGCTCGGGGCTGTCTCTGGCTCTCATTGAAGTGCTCTGGGCGGGCAGTTAGGTCCATTTTATAGATTAGGAATCTGAGGCTCCTCTGACAAGAGATGAGGTCCCAGAGCTAGCTGTGGGCAACATTGGAAACAGAACCTCTAGCTCCTGACTCCTGTTGCCCCCTATAATTTGTCACGCCCTCCTGTCCCTCTTTCCCTTGGGGTGATGAGTGAGAGAGTTTACAAATCAGTTCAGACTTGCAGTTGGGTGGCTCAGCCCCTCACGGAACTGAGGTCATGATAATCCCCTACCTTTCTACTCCATTTTCCAGTTTACAGAATAATTTCATGATTTGCCGTGGTTTTTACAGGATTAACCCCTTTAGCAGATGGGCAAGCTAAGTCTGGCAGTTTAAACGACTTACCCAGGCAATTGGGACTCGAACCCAGAACTTCTGACCCAAAGATGAGCGCTCTCTCTCCTGCCTCACGGCTGCCTCTTTTTCTCAGCCTACCTGAATTTCATGAGAACAAATCGCCGAAGTTGGCCATGGGGGTGTTTCTCTGAACGTGTTCAGAGCAGATCTGAAGAGGTGAGGAGGGCTCCTTTCCTGTCTCTGTAACAGCTTTGAATTGATATAACCCAAATAAGAACCATACACTGTCAGTCACTGGTGAGAATAGGCTTGGGCAGGGTAGTTCTCAAGGAACTAGGGCCATGGATTATTGTTAAATTATGAGCTCCTGTGCTGCTGATTACTTTTAGGCCCAGACTCTTAGGCTTGCGCCAATGTTCCCAGCTGTCCTGACCTCAGGTTTCCTCCGGTTTCAGGGCTGTGTGCTCCAGGCCTCAATGAGGAGTCCAAACATGGAGACATTCAAGCAGCAGAAGGTGGAGGACTTTTATGACATCGGAGAGGAGCTGGGCAGGTAAGAGGCTGGGAGAGGTGGAGGGGGCGCCTCTCCTGGGGCACTTTTTGCTTGATCGGGGAGGCACGGGCTTGTCATGGGACTCCTGGGAAGCTTTAAAAACAATCCCGAGGAATTCATATTCACGTGCGGCTCTGCAAATAGTTGTCTCTGTGGAAATAACAACTTGCCAGCAGAAGGGACTAGAATTCTTGTGCCCTATGTTTTCACTATCGCCTGGCTGACTGACAGTAATGGCGGGTCTAAAGGAGTCTTGTTTCATCTGTTACTCTTCTCACAAAACCCTCCCCAAACTCTGGACTGAGACCTGGCCTGTTGGTATTCTTCTCTGAGTCCCACTTGGGACTCTCCGTGGCTCTTGGGATTTTGTTTCATAAGCTCAGCGCCTGAATGGGAGGTGAAGTAATCCTCCTGAAAATGGATTCGCATTGAGTAACAGGCCTCACGAGCCTTGTCATGAAGGTTCCTAGGATCTGAGTTATTGGGTGCATTTCCAGCTTGGCTAAATCCAGAATGCAGCCAGGGATAAATTCTGAGATCTGAAAGTGATTACTGTGTGGAAAGAAAAGATTTTCCGAAGCTCTCTTCTTGCCTTCCATTTCTAGACTCTGCTAATATTTAGATTTTTTTTAGGTATTACAGAACATCAGTCCTAGAGTTTGATTCTCATTGCAGTGCCTGAGATTGAAATTCATTTCACTCTCATTTTTCATGTGAGGAAACCGGTCCAAAGAGTTTAAGCAAGTTGCCCGAAGTTGCTCAGCCAACGAGTGACGTAGTCAAGATCTGGCCAGTCCAGTTTGTACCTGCACGCCTGTCATGCCTTTTCCGATAAGTACAGCACTTGCATACTCACGTGAACTTACCAGTACACCCAGCCTCACCCCCTCACACCGCTAGCAGAGTAAAAACTTGGGGGTTTAAAGCCTTCACTGTATCCATGATGCAAAACAGGAGGCCTTTCCCCTTTGTAAAGCTCTTGGGTTCAGACCTAATATTTTCTTACTTTTATTCATTTTATTTTTAATTTTATTACTTTAAAATATTTATTTATTTGAGAGAGAGAAGAGAAAGAGAGAATGTGAGCAGGGGGAGGGGCTGAGGGAGAGGGAGAGAGAGAATCCTCAGGCAGACTCCCCCTGAGTGTGGAGCCTGATGCGAGGCTTGATCCCAGGACCCTGAGATCATGACCTGAGCTGAAATCCAGAGTTGGACGCTCAACCAGCGGAGCCACCCAGATGCCCCATCTCTTACTTTTATTTTTATTTCTTTTTAAGATTTTATGTATTTATTTGAGAGAGAGAGAGCACAAGCGGAGGAGTGGGAGAGGGAGAGGGAAAAGCACACTCCCTGCTGAGCAGGGAGCCCGATGCGGAACTTGATCCCCAGACTCCAGGATCATGACCTGAGCCGAAGGCAGTCGCTTAACCAACTGAGCCACCCAGGCGCCCTCTTACTTTTATTTTTAAAGACAAAATAGAAAGAGCTTCAAAGCCAGAGGAGCCTTACTTCAAGAAGAGGGTGTGTTACTTCCAGTCCAGGGAGCGCTTGTCCTGGCTTACTGGCTGGCTGGGTGCGGGGAGCGAAGGACCGTAGAGACCCAGGAGGGGCACAAGTCCTCAGCCTTTTGTCTGAGCCGACTGCCACTGGCAATCCAGGGCCTGGCAAAGATAAGGGAAGAGGACAGGGCCAGAGGCTGGAAGGCGGTCAGTGGGAGTCTGCCTCTGAATGGGAAGCCAGGTGCTTCTGACGTGGTGATACCGGAGGAAAGTGGCAGGCTCAGCAGCGGACCCTGGCAGGCCCTTCCAATGGCATCTGATTCGGGAGCCTCACCTCAGACACATCGTATGCGGAGGGGTCTGTGCTCAGTGCTCTGGGCACAAAGATGAACAAGACACGGACAGTTTCTGCCTTGCTGGGGCTCTGGCCCTGCAGTGGGGGCACCATGCACATGCTAAGGGCAGAGTTGGAAGGGACCTTGTCGGGGTGGGGGACTCTGAAGAAGGAAGTCGAGACCATTTCCTGGGGACTTCACCTATTATTCCTTCTTAGTCCTGTCTCTCCCCAACTTTGTATATCAGGGCTATTAGAGCTGGAAGAGGCCTCTTGTTAGCTGGTCCTTCACCTGTGGCAGGTGGGAGGGTCCGCACCTCGCAGACTGGGAGCTTTGGATCCCCACCGCCCCCTACATCTCTAAAGCACTAATTAGACATAGAATGGGTAAGTGGCTGCAGAGCCCCGAGGCCTTTGGAATGGCTTGGCATCCTAGGATTTGTGGTCTAGAGGCCAGATGAGCTAGAAGGCCTTTAGAGATCCATTCTTCCAGGCTCTTCATCTGAAAACTGAGAAGACTGAGGCTCAGGGAGGAGGGGAAGGTGTGGCCGTGAGCCATAAGTAGGCTGGAGCTAGCGCCGTCTGCAGATGAGTGCTCCGACTTAGAAGGGACAGTCCTATTTTTCTCCCCTCCCCTCCTTTTCTTCACTTAACACGCCATTGAGGAGCTGCTGTGTGCCAGCCACCGTCCAAGGCAGTGGTAAACAAATAGACACATTCCTGTCCTTTTGCAGCTTATGATCCATTGGTGGAGAAAGACACTAAGCCCATGAACAGGGGAACGAACGGGATAAATCTTTTTTTTTATTTTATTTACTTATTTATTTATTTATTTTTATTCTTTTTAAGATTTTAATTATTTATTTATTAGAGAGCGAGTGAGAGAGAAACAGCACGAGAGGATAGAGGGTCAGAGGGAGAAGCAGGCTCCCCGCCGAGCCGGGAGCCCGATGCAGGACTCGATCCCAGGACTCTGGGATCATGACCTGAGCCGAAGGCCGTCGCCCAAACGACTGAGCCACCTAGGCGCCCGGGATAACTCTTTATAACATGTGTTAAGGGCTGTGCAAGGAGAGAGCGGGAGGCACTGAGAGAGAATAGGGCACACGGTTGAGACCAAGTGGTCAGGGAATGCTGCTCAGAGGAAGTGACTGTTCACTTAAAAACTGAGGGGTAAATGTGCAGGCAAAGGCAACAGCATGGACACAGGCCCAGAGGTGGAGTAGAGCCTGGGGACCCGGCTGCTGAAACGTGAGCTGTGGGCAAGCAGTGCTAGATGAGGTTGGAGTCATGGGTGGGGGCCGGAGCCAGCCAGTGAGCTCCCTGTCAACAGAGTGGTGGTGAGGTTTGGCCTTAGGGGTCAACACAGATCGGAATTTGTGTTCCCTTCCTAGCTGTGCAACCTTAGGACAACTTACTCAACCTCTCTGGGCCTCCGTTCTCTTACCCATAAGATGGGAATAATCACAGTACCTAGCCCATGGTTGCGGGGATTAAGTGAGATGCTGAGTCTCTGGTGCTTCTCACAGAGCCAGGCCCAGGGTAAGTATTCAATGAATGAGAACTTCCGGCCTTTGAAGTATGTTTGGGGCACCAAGGCCCTGCCTCCCTCCTCTGGAGCCCTCTGGGAGGGACTCTGCAGGAAGAACAGGGTTGGGTCATTCATATTTTGGGGAGAGCTACACATAAACCTGGCTTCCTCTGCTGTCAGTGAGCACCCTCGGCTAGACCCAGGGATGTTGTATTGATTTTAGCTCCTCATTCAAGTCCAAGTGAACATGACTGACACTGGTTTTCATGTTTACCTCTACTGGTAGAGGAAGCTCACAAACATAACGTTGAGCAAAGGAAGCCAGACCCAAATGAGTCCATACTGTGTAAGTCCATTTGCGTAAAGTTCAAAACAGGCAAAATCAATCAGTGGTGCTAAAAGCCAGAATAGTGGTTATTCTTGAAGAACTAGTCACTGGAAGGGGGCATGAGGGAAGTTCCCAGGGGGTGGGTATCGTTCTGTTTCTTGATCTGGGTGCTTGTTTCACTGATGCATTCTTTTCAGGAAAATATATCAAGCCATACATGTTTAGGTCCATCTTCCTGTAGGCATGTTATACCTTAACTAAAAGCATGCGTTAGCAAACAAGGAATCTTTCACTCTCCTCCTGGTCCTGGTCTGGTCCCCGAAGCACATGTGTTTGATTCCTTTGGAGGCCTTGTATGTTTTATCCTACAAGTAGAAGGACATCTGTGAGAAAAGCTGCAGAATCCACCTTTGGATCAGGATGGGGTGCCCTGGCTGGAGGGTCCTGGGCTGTGACCCTCACTTGACCCTATGCATCTTGCCTGATTTCTGGCTCCCAGTGCTGAGTGGAGACACTTGGCTGTGCTCCCATTTTGGCACCAGCCTGCTGGGGATGCTGGAGATCATCTGCTGTTTCTGGGAATGCTTGGAGAAATGCTGGCCTGTAGATTCTGGCTTCTCCCAGCCTTGGTAGCTGGGGTTAGGTAGAGCAGGGGAATATGAGAGCAGGACTTACAAAGAAAAACCCACCCAACTCCTCCTTTTTAGTCAAGGCTAGGACCAGAGAGGGGAAGTGCCTTGTCTGAGGTCACTCGGGGGTGGGGACTGATGGTCTGACTCTTAGTCTAGGGCTCTGGCTACCACACCCTAAGAACTCACAGAGCACAAACTCATTTTTGCTCTCATTCGAATGTTTCTGGCGAGTGAGGAGAATATATGGCAGGGTGGTCTTTTCTGTTTGACCTTGAGAGTAGGGTAGCAGTGTCAGAGTCAGGAAGGTGGGCATTTGGGGAGGAGTGATGTTCCTCAGAGGGAGGGGCTGGTAGATAGGCCCTCCCTCTGGGGATGTACGCCCAAGAATACAAGGTAATTTAACGTATGTGATGTCTATCCTATAATGATCAGTGCTTTCTTTTTTCCTGTACTTAGATTACTTTCCTTTACTTAGATTGTTACATTAACATAAAACCATAAAGTGTTATGAAAATGAACCGGATTTCAACATGAAGTTAGTCCCAATCTCAATTTTATAGACAAGGAAAGTGAGGCTGAGTGAGGGGAGGTGATTTTGTCCAAGGTCACAGAGTAAGCAATATGGAAGGTGGAGCTTAAAGAAGCTTTTCAACTACACTGTGCTGGTTTAAACAAA